GCAGAAACCGAATGGAAAATCAAATACATAAATGTTTTTCTATCTTTGTCTTGCTGGCAGCTGAAAAGCCAAGGCAAGTTCCTCCGTTAAAAGATTCAGCTTTGCTGTTACACTCTGGCTTCCATGATTTCCTTTCCCTTTTAAACCAAGGGTTATCAAACTCCACCACTTAAAAATGCCAAAAATCAGTTAAAGACTAGATTAGAATGAGGTGTATTTAGAAGAGTAACTTTATAAAAGAAGGCAACAACACTCTTAACGTTGAGTATAAGTTGATATTGTACTGTTTGAAGTACCCTGTGTGCTCCGTTTTGCAGGGGATTGGAATGTTTAAATTAAGGGGCCCCCTGGTCCAAAGGCCCCATAGGGAGTAGGCCTCTCACTTTCTCCCTTCTTCTCTTAGTTCCAAATAGATGAGATCATTTTAAAAAGGACCATATGTTCTGTCTCCTGTTTCAACAACAAGTCCAATAAATAAGCTGTTGGCTATAGTGGTCTGGGGGGACACTTTAGAATTGGCACGGATCCTCTCTCAGGTACTTTATAGTGCTTGATATGATACTGTTTTACTTTGTAATAAACATCTTATACTGGGAAGACGGTGTCAACGGAGTTTTCCTTCACCATCTTCACATTATCGCTACTTGATAAACAACAAGAGTACAGAAAACAGCAACACTCCCACCAATCAATTTCTAAGATCAGAAACTACATCACAGGAACTCTGAGCACCAGCATGCAGTACTGTAAACTCAAGACTAAGTGTTCAGCAACCTGAGAGCTCCGCTTCAGTAGGCCAGTCGCAGGTGGAGCCAGGTACCACTAATTACTGACAGGTGGTTCTTTGCCTCCCCCTGCTGACAGGTTGAGGCCAAAGCAGAGGCAGTCAGCCCTTTTACACATCCACTATCAAATGAAAAGTCTCCTGCCCACCCAAAAGAAAAAAAAAACAAAAAAATATACAAAAAAATATACAAAAAATGGCAAAGAATAAATAAATGATAAATCTACAATATTGCCAAAACAAACAGCAACTATAATCTATTCAGTTTGCTTTCACATATTTAAATTTAGTTCAATTAATGTGTAGCCAATGTGGAAAGTTTCATTTGAATCAGGTAAATTTGAAGCGAACGTGGTTTGTATTGAACCACTATTTTCAGAGTACACTGCCTGTGTGGATTAAAGCTGCTCATTTATCTTCTATTTAGTCATTAGAATTAAGTTTTGTTATGCTTAAGGCACGAGTCAAAGAGCTGTTGATCGTTTTGATTCTATCATAGTAAATAAAAAAATTATATTGCTGATTTATTTAATTGTAATGGAATTAGCATTTTTACTTTAAGAAACTAACTGCTGCTTTCTGAATGAGCACAAGAACATTTTATTACTTAAACAAAATAAAATAATGACTGATAAAAAATAGTCTCGCAGGATTATGACCCTTATACATGAGTGATATTGTATTTCACACAGCGCTTGTTTTGGATAAGTTTGCACAACACAGTAATAAACACTTGGAATGGTCATATAGTCACTTGCTTGTTTTATTGATCAGATGGTGCAAATAATTTCTCCATCCATCCATCCATCATCTAAACCGCTTATCCTTCTGGGTCGCGGTGGGGTGCTGGAGCCTATCCCAGCTGTCATCGGGCAAAAGGCAGGATACACCCTGGACAGGTCGCCAGTCCATCGCAGGGCAGACAAACAGACATATACATCCACACACTCACACCTAGGGGCAATTTAGCACGTCCAATTGGCCTGACTGCATGTTTTTTTTTGGACTGTGGGAGGAAACCCACGTAGACACGGGGAGAACATGCAAACTCCACACAGAAATGACCCTGGTCACCCGGCCGGGAATTGAACCCAGGCCCTTCTTGCTGTGAGGCGACAGCGCTACCCACTGTGCCACCGTGCCGCCTCGCAAATAATTTCTCATTTCTCTAATTTATTATTTAAATAATTTATCACAGTCAAAGGGTCTTTTTTCTCTTTAAGTAGTAGAAGACACTGATTTAAATCTCACAGCTTCTGCTAATCAGTCAAAACAGTTAAGTCGAGCATCGTTTATCTGAGATGTGTTGGCTTATCAAACATCCTTTACAGCATTGAGTCTGTTTCCTGCACTGTGTTTCAGAATAGAGGCATTATAGGATGTATTAGTGTAGTGTACTACGTGGTGGGTAGGTGTTGTATTATGGGATGTGTCAGGCCAGTGAAGGGCTACACTGATTAAAGTCATCATGGTGTCAAAAATGACATTTATAGAAAGAAGTGCTGTCAGTTCTGTACAGAATAGGGTTGCCTATACACTAGACAATGCAAGGACAGAGTGGTAGATGCAGACGCATGCAGATCTTGTCCGTCTAAAAGGTGTGTACACATTGGTGGGCGGAGTTTGCACAGCTCAAAATCCTGTGGCAAACAAAACATTTGGACCAGAAACAAAAAAATATATGCCATCAAAAGAAAATTTTGTCGATGGCCTTGTACAGAGCTGAGCAGACAACAGCCACAAAGGCAAAGAAGTTATATAGAACAGGAAATGAGTGCACAGCATCGTTATTGTCCTCCACCTTGGATTTTCATCCATCTTCTGCCTGCACGTTTCTACTGGTTGATGTGCCTCCACGTCAGAATGTGTTGCAGCAGAAGTTGAAATGGTTTGAACTTTTCCAATGCTCGATGATGCGCCTTTTCACTACATACAGACACATTTCTAGTCCTACAGAGCTGAGGCAGGGTCCTAACAGAAATACATTGGAGAGCTGCGTTTGTGATGCTGCGTCAGCTTCTAGTATGTTGGCACCCTAAAACTGCTTATTTTTTTCTACTTGCTCTTTTTTCGCTTATCTGCTTAGCTCTGCTATCTTTCATTTCTCCTCTTTATTTTCAGAACTTTATGTTCTAAAGCTACAGCGTTTCAGCTTATTATATAAAGAAAGGTCAAGATCACTTTGAAGCCAAAAGTGAATATTTTTCTTATTTTTTGTGTTTTTACTAATGCAATGAACTTGGGAATTAGAATAGTTTCTGATGGCTACCAAAGTAGAAAATTACAAAATGCCTCTTCAGGTTTCAGAGCACGTGCTGTCAGAATTGTTACCATCTTCTGCAAAAAATGACAGTTTTGGAGGTGAGTTTTTGGAGCCTGTAAACGGAGTTTAAGGACTGGCATTCCTCCGTTACACAACGAGTAGCATATGGGAGTTTCAGCCGAAGACAACAAGCGAAGACAGAGCAGCAGGCAGTAGAGACACAGAGCTGGGCCAGCAGAACACATGGATGGAGCTGCTAATGTGAGTAAAGCTGGCAGAAATGAACAATGGGTCCACATTGGAGCTGAACCCAAAGGCTGTGCTACATATAGCTCTATAGTCTCATCCTCCACTCCTGTTAGCACAGCTCGTCATGCTAATGCTAATGATATAGTTGCTGCTCAGAAATCACAGCATAAAGCCAGAGCAAGACATCGGGCCCAGTCACTCTACTTGCAGAACAGATTTGACCCACTGCAAGGCCTCAGTGAGTGTCCTAAGGGCAGTGATCAGAATGCAGAAAGCACCACAGGTGTTAGGTGGTCAGAGCACCCTGGTAGAGCCACTCGGCCGTGGACTGCGGCCAAAGCAGACATCCTTGTTTTTAGAGATGACTCTGTTAATGGTCTAAAAAAACACAAACTCATAGTTCAATGTGAGCTGAACATCACAGTCTCTGAGCTGAATGAAAAGCTTCCTGTATTACTGTCTGAATACACAACAGTGAGGTGGATCATTGTTCATGTGGGCAAGAATGACGCGAGGAAACAGGAGTCTGAGGCATTAAAAAGTGACTTTAACAATCTCTTTAACACACTCAGGAAGCTCAATATGCAGTCATTTATCAGTGCTCCTCTGCCTGCAGGGAGAAGTGAAATGTTCTCAAGGCTACTTGGATTAAACAACTGACTACATAAAAGCTGCAAGTAGGAAATGCGATGAGAAATTAGGAACTGGTCAGTCAGTCCTGCTGAAGGTGAAGACTAAACGTGGAGAAGCAGCGTTTAGATACTATGCTGCATTTAAATGGGCCCAGTGGACAAAGAGCATTCGAGGAGCCCTGACACTAGACACTTTAAATCAGCCTGAAGATGTTCATATTTGAGCAGCTTTCAATTCAGTTTAAACACTATTAGCATTTCTAGACCCAGAAGACCCCTTTCTTCTGTAACAGCACTTTTTTATTATCCTAATTTAACTTTAATTTAAAATTTTAATTTGATTTTTCATTTGAATGATTTTCCCCTTTAAAACTATTGTTTTAATCATGTTTTGAACGTTTTTAATGTCTATTTTCATTTACTTTTTAAAATTATTTTGTATTTTCTCATTTGTAAAGCACTGTGAAAGACAGCAGCATATGAAAGCTACTCTATAAATAAACTTGCCTTGCCTTAATCCACTGCAGCCTTAGAGAGTTGCAGAGCCAAATTTCACTGAAACAGTCAAAATCAATAAAGTTCTTTTTGGTGAGTATTAACTGTACACGGTTGTGGACGTTAATAAGTGAGTGGGTGTTGGACAGCAGTATTCCTGGGATCACAGATCATAGTGATTAAACTGGGATCACGGATCATAGTGATGGTCAGCACATCGGTTCATGTTTCTCTGCTACTCTGCTGTTCATGAGCTCCAAACACAATGAATATAAAAAAAATTGACACAGTTTTAATGAAACTGTGAGTTTTTAAGATATAAAACCAGAAATTCAGACAAATCATGTTAGATAATTGTCCTTCTTTAATGCAACCTTTACATCTTACAGAATTCAAGAGAAAAACACATGGATAAAGTTAAGGAAAAAAAGATACAATTTCCTGGTTGCATAAGTGTGCACAACCTTTGTATTGGGGGTTGTAGCTACATTCAGAGTAAACAAATCACATTCAAAATAATGTCCAAACACAAGCAGCACACACCTGCCACCAAAAGTGAATTTGATTAACTACAAATGAAAATGGAAAAATTCAGTAGGTTTTAGGGTTGCATCAAGAAGTGGTACAGATATGGAACAGTGGTGGTACAGATATGTAACAGTGGTGGTTCAGAGAGAAGAATCTCTGTCTCCATGCAGAAAATGTCCTTTATCGCCATTTACTGGTTGAGTACTGATGCCATTCAAGGCCAAACAGTCCACAGACAATAAAGAACATCCCAAGGAAAATCGGCCCACTGTGATAATAAGGGCAGAGAAATAATCACAGAGAAAAAACATTTTCCAAAACCCCAAATTTAAACTGTCAAATTTTAATGCAACACAAACAACAGAAAAAATAATCAGAATCAGAATCGTTTATCAAAATGTGACTGATTTTTGTTTACAATATTTATATATGACATTTCAAATATACTTTAATACTTTCACGTTCATGACAAACCAAACACGGTATCAATTCAAGTGAATAAATGATTAATTATATTTTAATTATTTCATTACTGTGAGTCAAAAAAACAACAACTCACAGAATGATGCATAAACAGGGCATGTTTCTACGAGCTCCTCGCGCTTCCACTATACTTGTGTCAGTCTCCGTGGTGTTCTCAGGATGATCTGTCTGTACAAGAAATAAAATGACAGATAAAAGTTAAAAACGAGGCAGATCTGTAGCTCCATCGACAGTTAAATTAACCTCTGCAGTAAAACTTTCCAGCAGTTTTCAGCCTTTACATCACAAACACTGAAGTTTAACATTCTCCTGAATGGAACATTTAAAAATATAACAATACACTAATAAAACAGTGATTCTCAGTCTTAGATGATCTGCTAATAGATGTACACTGTCACTGTACACTGAGATGGATCAGAGTTATTGTCAGTTATATCACAGCTGATTGTCTGCACCAGCTTTTATCGGTGTAACAGAAAACATATTACTGCTTATTAAGCTAAAAACAAGCTAGTCACCCATAACAAGCAGTTGTTTACAGCATTAAATACTGAGCCTTTTAGAGCAAATTACAGTCACTGAATTAAGCACTGATCTATATAGAATTTGGATTTGTGTAATCTGTGCTGTCATTTGAGTGACTACGAAGAGATCTGTGATTTTAATCCAGTACAAATCTGCAATGTCTTTAGATTTTAAGTCTGCTAAGTGATAATTCTGGAGTGAACTGCCTCATATAATTATTTGAGCTCCTTCAGTAACAGTAGTCCTGTTAGTAATGTAACAACAAAACTGGGTAACAGGAAAGAGTGCCCCAATTTTTATTTCTATTTTGAACACAAGGCTAACAGCTAAGGGGGGGTGGGGGGGTGATTTGACCCAGTTCCTTAACCCTCAAACTCATGACCAGACTCCTGAAATCCAAAAGTTCAGTGTATATTCCCTCCATACTCTATGATTATACATTGGGTATAATTTGGAATTTCCATTGATAACAGGTGTCATCCCACACTGAAAGAAGATGGTCTCCACCCTTGTCAAGTGTCACCTTTTTCATTTAGCCATACAGTGTGTTCTTACGATAGACTGTCTGTTTATCTATCTAACTATCTACCAATCTGTCTATTTAACCAGATTACTTGCTTATCAATATAAGAAGTAATGTCTGATATGGGGAATGATTGTAGGACACTCTAAAACAGGAAATTACCTAATAAGACCACCTAATAAGGTAAGTCAAAGACCCTGGATAAACACAGATCATCTCCTAAATACAAAAAGTCCCCAAGGATAAAATACCAAAAATATTATATATGCTTATTCAATTTTAAAATATACAGTCACATGAAACCTCCTGTAATGTGTTTATATAAAAACAAATGATAGAAATGTGATGAAATACTTCTAAAATAAGGACAGAATAGTTTGAGAACTGTGACCTGATATTCTAATCGACAGCCCTCAGTCTAAAACTCCCAGCCTACTAGACCAGAGGGCAAGGCTTTATTTGGATATCCCACTGTTGATGCCAGTCTTACATTTAACCTATATTCTGCAAATTATCTATTAATAACCCTAACCTCATACTGGAGAAAGATTTTCGGGTGACTAGAGTGAGATCATACGGTGACAAGTGAGATTTTAGTATGACTGGAGTCATATTAAAAAACTGAATGAGATTTTAAGAGAGATGATTGCCTTCATGCGCCCACAATGTGCCCAAATGTAACATTCATTTTACTCAGACTGCAGCTTATCCTGCTAACCATGATATCCTGGTCATGTTTTACAGTTGTAGACAAAATAAACGACAGATTGTGTTCAAAAAGACGTCCAGCGCTGAGTTAAGAGCTCCGTTTTCAGGTGTTTATTAAAAGTGAGCTCTGAGCTCGACTGTCTAATAAAAGCTGAACTGAGCTCCACAGTTTAGAAGCAGAATAACTGAAAGAGTCTCTCCACGTTTTCTGTGTTTTACTGAAAGTGTTTGCAGAACCATTACAGTGATCAACTCTGCTGTAACAAATGCAGCAACAAGTTTATCTGCATAGCTCTGAGAGAGAAAAGGCCAAACTTTAGTGATTTTCTCAAATGATAAAAAGCTACTTTAGTGACTGTGATTACATGCAGATAAAACAGAGCTCAGAGTCTAAGATCACACCCAGGTTTCTACTGCAGGTTTGGTAGATGAAGCTAAAGAAATGTTTCTCAGAAATCATTTTTCTCTTTGTTTTAGTACCAACAATCAGTATTTTGGTTTTTAGTGATTTAATTGTAGAAAATTTTGCGACATCCACTGAGAAATATCTGACACAGCTGGTTAGTCTATCTACAGAGTCTTTATTATCAGAAGGAATGGAAATGTATAATTGTGTGTCATCAGCATAAATATGAAAATTATGCTTCCTAATGACATCACCTAGAGGTAGCATATACAAAGAGAAAAGCAAAGGCCCTAAAACTGAACCTTAGGGGACTCCACAAGAAACGGCAAATCATTTTGATGAATGATTTCCAAGTGAAACCATGAACTGTCTATTACTTAAATATGATTTAAACCATTTTAAATGGTTTTAAAATGGTAAAATGGTATAAAATGGTAATAAAACTGTGCCCAAGAGGCCGACCCAGCATTCAAGATGCTGGATTAAAATCTTGTGGTCAACGGTATCAAAAGCTGCACTAAGATTTAATAAAACCAGAAGGACTTTGTACATCAGCACTGAGCCTGAGGTCATTCATAACGCGAATCAATGCTGTCTCTGTACTTTGGTTAGAACGAAAACCTGACTGAAACTTCTCATATAAATTGTTTGATATTAGAAATGCATTTAGTTGTTTGAAAACAACTTTTTCTTAGACTTTACGTAGAAAAGGTAGGTTTGAAATTGGTCTAAAATTATTTAGTGTGGAAGGATCCATGCTACTCTTTTTTAGCAGAGGCTTCACCAGCAGTTTTAAAAGCATCTGGAAAAACACCTGCTGACAGAGATCAGTCTACAACAGTTACATATCACTTTTAACACAATCAAAAAACGTTTTAGGGATGAAGTAGGAACAGCGTCAAGATCATGTAGATGAACTTAGTTTGTTTATATCAGTTGTGAGCTCCTGATAATTTGGGAAAGAGAAATATGTCATTACTGATGAAGGTGGCTTATCAGGAACATTATAGGAGGTTGTTTGAGTCTGCTGAGCTACACCCTGTCATATCAGGTCTATTTTGTTTTGAAAATGAATTGTGAACTCTTTGCAAATTTTAGAAGATAAATCACAGAGAGATGCACTAGCAGAAAAGCTGGGGTTAATTAGTTGGTCTATGGTGGAAAAAAGGATTTTGGTATTATCTTTGTGTCTATCAATTACACTAGAGAGTTATGACTGGATATTTTCATAGCATTATTGTAGGTGGAAATTGAGAGAAAATCTGCTCAACGTGTTATTTTACTTTCTAATGTTATTCTCTCAACATATGCTATTTTGTCTTGTATGATTTCTTATGGCCATAACTATTTTTATTGTAGAGTTTTAGCAAATGGTCTTTTGTTGCAGAGAAGTGATAATTGTCACCCGCTCTTTACAAAGAAGTGATAACCGTCACACTCTCACCTTGTCATCTCAGTCCGTTGTTTGTGTTGTATTGTAGGTCCTCACAAAATATTTCTTGTCAGACAAGTGACAGACTACTGATAGACTGTTGATCGACCATGCAGCACACACACATGATTCTCTGTAAAATCCAGTCAATGCTGAAGCTCCAGTCTCCTGACTTTTAATGCCGAATTTCTAACAAGATCTGCTCTTTGAGAAAATCATAATGAAGCTGCAGTTTAGTTTTTCTCCATAAACGCTCAGTTGGCATATTTCTGCGTTCATCCACAGATTTATATGAGTACCATTGTTTGTCTTCCATTTGACTGGAGTGATAATGTCAAGAGTTTCTTTTAATCTAGTATTTGAACCAGATAATTATAGTATGGAGTCAGATCTGTATTCACTGAACTATTGTAAGTGTAACATCTCAACATCTCAACTGTTTGAGTCACTATCACTTTTTAAAGTAACTTTCAGACAGTTGCTTCCTTATTTTTAAATTGATTTTAAAGAAAATACAGTAATGTTCTGATATGAAAACATCAGAGATTTGGGACACGTTTTGTGTTTAAACCTTTAGTGATGACCAAATCCAGGATGTGACCAAGCTTGTGGGTAGAGCTGCCCCTAGAAGTCTAATGAATGCTGATGCATTACTATCTGATGGATCATCAATGTCTAAGTTGGTCTCCAGAGATTAGAATTTTATCATAGCTTATGGAGTTTCTTTTTTAAAAATGATTATTTTGTTGGAGAGGTCTATATATTACAATTAAGAACATGGAAGTGTTGCTAAAAAGCTTGACCACAACATAATCAACATACATGACATTAATTCACCTACAGTAGTATCTACAGTACTGTCTCTGTCTAGCTGCTGTGTCAGCTGTCATTGTTGAAATAAGTCTCTCAACAGCATGACATTGAGACACTGACACTAATTTATGCATTTTAAAAGATGGAGGAAAATCCACATAGAACAGTGGCTGCTGTGCTGAACATCTCCCTCTTTAAAAGACAATTTCTGAAAAGGTGCTGAATGAGTCATTGTTCTGTTTGGCAAAAACTCCTGAAGATGAAATCATATACTTGTGTTGTACAGTGTAAGACAAGACCCTTTCTCACCACATATGAACAAATTTGAACCTTCATTATCTCTCAGTATAGCAGTTCTACAGTCCGCTTCCAGCTGTACATGCTGTAGCTCTAACAACGCTGAGATGCCAAGTGGAGTGGACTGGGCAGTGGACGATTTATTGAGGGCTGAAATCTCTGTCTCACTTTACCGTCACCAGCAGAACCCCTGAAAATACCACTAAACCGCACCAAATCTCTGAGAACGTCACTGAACCCCTGAGAACCCCGCCACACCGCACCAAACCCCTGAGAACACCACCAAACTTCACACCAAGCTCCACTGAACACCTGTATAACAGGATTTATGTGTCTTCAAGGCTCTCTTTTCATCAGTATTCAAATGCAGTGGTGCTTAAAGCATTTTTTGTCAGCACAAGTCTTTTTAATTAGAAATTGTTCTAGGGTTAGGGTTAGCGGTCTTAGAGCAGGCAGATGTTATG